GCTGCCATGGCAAACAGCCATTGGCAACAGCTTGCATCTCCCTTTACAACTAATTGCATTTCCTCAGGAAGGCCTTATAGACTAAGACTGTCACTTGGCAATCTGGACATCAGCCACAGGTCTTCAATAATGCAATCCTAAACAAAGTTACACCCTTCTAAGACCATTGATTTCAGTCGATTTAGAAGGATGTAGCTCTGTTTAGAATTGCACTTCTAACCAGGGCTATTTTGGGGCGGGAACGCACAGGAACGGACTTCTGGCGGGCTCCTGAGTTGGCCACGCCCAGCAGGAACCCATTAGCATAATAGGCCACACCCAACAGCAGAAACTCATTAGGATTGGCTACAGTAGGCGTGTGTGGCCTAACATGCAAAGGAGTCCCTGCTACAAAAAAAGGCCCTGGGTTTTGACAACAAACAAGGTAAATAGAATAAGAAGCAAAAGGTGGGTGTGGCTGGATGACCACACTTCTGGCAACAGGGGGCTGCGGCCTAATATGCTAATGAGCTGTGGTGTCAGGGTGTGGCCTGTTATGCTAATGAGCTCCTGCTGGGCTTTTTCTACAAAAAAAGCCCTGCTTCTAACCCCCCTTTGAAGTGGGTGACAATGATTAGTGGCTTCTCCCACCCCTTTCATTTCTAGTCCTGTCATCTGCTTCCTTCTTTCCACCTCCTGAGGTGAAAGGGACTCATAGCAGTTGAAGGAGCAGGATTCATCCAGGATGGAAACACATTACATCTACTTTGTCTCCCACTTTAACATGAGATTTAGAGATCTGTTTCCAAAGTCCAAATCTTGAGGTGGAAATCTGTCTGTAGACCACTTCTAATAGTATAGCCCCAAGTGGTAAGGCAGAGTTCCCAGTCCCCAGGTCCAAGCGGGGGTTCCCCTGGTTTTTGAGGCTTCTGCCCACCACAAGCCAGCAGGCTGGTGGGAGAAACTCCGCCCCCCCAAGCAGCCACATCCCCGCGTGACATCCCCAACACAATGACACCACCTGGAACGCAATGTTCCCTCTAAGCTGCGGATTCTTGTGAGCAAAAATTCAACTTTGTGAGCAACTGGCATTACAGTTGTGAGCAAGTGACTTGGCTACTGTATAAATCAGTTTGCTTTGGAGCCATCCTTCCTGAACGAAGACAAAGATGTGTGAGCTGGAGGCTAAAAATCTGTGAGCTAGCTCACACGAACTCGGCTTCGAGGGAACACTGCCTGGAAGTTACATCATCACATTGGCAATGTTGCAGGGATGCTCTGGTTTGAGGGCAAAACTCTTTGGTAAATTTGCCCTCAGACCATAGAATTTTGCCTTCAAACCAAAGCTTTTCCACATGACATCACTGATGTGATAATGTCAGGTAACATCATCGTGTTGGGGATGTCATGTGATATCCCCACCCTCTCCAGGAATTCCCCCCCCATGATGGTAACCCTATGGTAAGGAGACCACCCAGCAACATGGTGATTTTTGTGAGACCAGAATCATTCACAAAGGAACATGAGTGCAGCCATGATGGGTCAGAACAATTGCCTCTCTCATCCAGTATCCTGTTTCTGCCAGAGCCCAATCAAATGCCACAGGGAAGCCCTAAGCAGGCCCTGCAGACAACAGCCTTCACCAGGTGACTGCTCCCCAGCATCTGACAGTGCCTCTGAACTGGGAGGCCCCATTCGGTTATAGCCAACAATAGACCTATCATTAGTTGCTGTAGATTTTCCAGGTTGTGTGGCCGTGGTCTTGGCATTGTAGAACCTGACATTTCGATCTTTTGTATGTGGATTGGCTGTTGAAATTCTAATCTTATCTGTACTGGTATTGTCAGATGTAGAGCCTTTTGTGTTTTTCAGGACAGGAAACCATGCCCTATTTATTTTTAAACTCTCTTCTTTGCTGTTGCAATTGTGTTTATGTTTATGAAATTCAATGGCTTCCCTGTGTAATCTGACATGGTACTTGGAAGTGTTGTTCAAATGTTCAGTGTCTTGGAACAAAATACTGTGTCCTGTTTGAGTTAGGCTATGTTCAGCCACTGCTGATTTTTCAGGTTGGCCAAGTCTGCAGTGTCTTTCATGTTCTTTTATTCTTGTCTGAATGCTACGCTGTGTGGTCCCGATGTAAACTTGTCCACAACTGTATGGTATGCGGTACACTCCTGCAGAAGTGAGGGGGTCTTTTCTGTCTTTTGCCGATCATAGCACCTGTTGTATTTTTCTGGTGGGTCTGAATACTGTTTGTAGGTTGTGTTTTTTCATAAGTTTTCCCATCTGATCAGTGACTCCTTTGATATATGACAAAAACACTTTTCCTCTGGGAGACTGTTTTTCCTCAGTTGTTTTTTTTACCTTTGGTTTAATCGCTCTTCTGATTTCATTCTTGGAGTAGCCATTTGCTTGAAGTGCGTGATTTAGATGATTTAGCTCATCATTGAGAAAGTGCAGTTCACATAACCATCTTGCACGGTCTACTAATGTTTTGATTATGCCTCTTTTTTGCCGAGAGTGGTGATTGGAGTTTTTGTGTAAATAACGGTCCATGTGAATTGGTTTTCTGTAGACCTTGTTACCTAATTGAAGGTTAGTTTTGCGGAGGACCATGATATTTAGAAATGGGAGTTTACCCTCGACTTCTTTTTCCATGGTGAATTGTATGTTGGGGTGGATGTCGTTGAGGTCATCTAAAAACTCCATCAATTCTACTTCTCCATGGCTCCAAATGATAAAGGTATCATCTACATACTGGAACCAGACTGTCGGTTTGTGGGGTGCAGATTCTAAAGCTGTTTTTTCAAAATGTTCCATGTAGAAGTTTGCTATAACTGGGCTGAGAGGGCTTTTTTTCTTCTCACCTTGACACAGAGAGTACTCCATCTTTCTGTGTTATGCCTCTGAGGATGCCAGTCACAGCTACTGGCGAAACGTCAGGTTCGACAATGCCAAGACCACGGCCACACAACCCGGAAAATCTATAGCAACTAATGAACTCCGGCTGTGAAAGCCTTCGATAACATAATAGACCTATCCTCCATAAATCTGTCCAACCATCTTTTAAGTCCATGTCTTGTAGTAAGGAATTCCACAAGTCAACTACCGGTCATGTGACAGGACTTCCTTTTCTACCTTGCCAACTTCCAGTTACCGTCATAGGGTGACTGCAAGTTCTAGTATTATGAGAGAAGGTGAAAAAATTCTCTCTGTCTCCTTCATTACACCATACTTCAACTTGCAGACTTTTATCATGTAACAGCAGGGCTATTGTTGGGCAGGAACGCACATCCCAGATGCTTTAGCCTGGCTTCATAAAACAGATGCTTAAATACTGTGATCCCTTGGGTTACCTTTTCAGCCCTTTTTTCTAGCTCTTCAGGCTTTTGGGGTCTCAGAGATCAGAACGGTACGTGTGTGTGTGTTAAGTGCCATCTAGTCACTTCTGTCTTATGGCGACCCCATGAATCAGTGTCCTCTAAAACATCTCATCATTTTTTAATGTTATTTATTGTTTTTTGAAACAAAACATAACCAACATAAACAAGGATTTCTTAACATAGTTTAGATGTCTACTACAGTGACTTCCCTCCGGTTTTCGAGCCTAACAATTAAACTAAACGGTTTTTTTCTAACCGTCTGTAAAGTTTGAGCCACATATTATCAAAGACATCATCATCCTTCCCTTGAAGCTTCATTGTCAAATTATCCAATTCGGCTATTTCTGTAGATTTAACTATGAATTCTTCTCTAGACGGTATCTCTTCCTGTTTCCAGTATTTTGCGAACAGGATCCTAGCTGCCGTAAGCAGGTGCGTGATCAAATGTACATCTGCCATCTTTACATTGTCAGGCATAATATTTAACAGAAATATCCAGGGCTATTTTTGGGCAGGAACACACAGGAACGGAGTTCCGGCTGGCTCCCAAGTTGGCCACGCCCAGCAGGAACTCATTAGCATAATAGGCCACACCCAACAGCAGAAACTGATTAGGATTGGCTACATTAGGGGTGTGTGGCCTAACATGCAAAGGAGTTCCTGCTACAAAAAAAGCCCTGGGTTTTGACCACAAACAAGGTAAACAGAATAAGAAGCAAAAGGTGGGTGTGGCTGAATGAGCACACTTCTGGTAACATGGGGGGTGCGGCCTAATATGCTAATGGACTGTGCTGTCAAGGGTGTGTGCTACCCAGGACTTGTGTAAGGGCACGACTATACTGGCGATCCCTGACCTGGATAGCCCAGGCTAGCCCAATCTCATTAGATCTCGGAAGCTAAGCAGGGTTGGCCCTGGCTAGTACTTGGAAGGGAGACCTCCAATGAATACCAGGGTTGTGATGCAGAGGTAGGCAATGGCAAACCACCCCTGAAACATCTCCTGCCTTAAAAAAACAAGTCTAGCTTACCATCTAGTGGAACATAATGCTAAAAGAGCTAGAACTTTTGGCTGCCAGACAACCTTAGGATCTCCTGGCCATACTACACACACTGTCATACGATTATTGTTGTTGTTGTTACTATACTGGCAGTTTTATTCTCCCTTTTTTGCCTGATGATTTAAAAAAAATTGCTGCCATTTACCAAGTCGATGTTTCCAACAAGTTAGCCACAACTTTTTTTCTTGGTCTGTTCAGTTCAAACTCCTCAGTGTATTTATGAAATTAGGATTCTTCCCCCAGATGAGCACAGTTCTGCACTTCATAAACATTTGGACAAAGCCAACCAAGAAGATCCCCACGTAAACACAAACACTGGACCTGCTTGTGTGCTTTCTGCTATGAAAGAAAGAAATAATCAGACTGCATGGCACGATCGCTGCCTTTAACCCAGTCCCTCTGGATTCCCCCCTTAAGTTCCTCAGGTGCTCTGTGAATTTGTCTGAAGTGAACCTAGTTTTCAGTTGTTTGACTGAATGTTAACTACGCTTGAAGATCCGGTTTGTAATGCATTTAAGGGCCAAGAATCAGGAAATCTCTTCCTTGTCAGGTGTCCAGTGACAATCACAGACAGACCATGAGGAAGGAAGGATCTGTACTGTTCAATGTTTTTAAAGGCTTTAATCCAGATGGAAAGAGAAGGTATGTCTGTTGTAGACAGGCCCGTTATTACTGAGGTTGTTTACGGTGGATTTCATTGTCAGCTTGTGGTTGTTTTACAACCTAATCTTTTGTGTCCAGTGTGAAAGTCAAGTTTCTAGACTTTCATTCATTATACATAAGAAAAGGAAATTGCCAGCAGTTTCCAGAAGTCAGCAAAAGGAACAGAAAAGCAATTAAAAATACAGGACATACCAAACTTTAATGCTTTTACTGCCAGGTTCTTCCAAATGTAAAGTATGAAAACTTCTAATCCAAAACTTCTAAACTTAGAGTAGTGTCTCTAAGAATGCTGTATTGCTACAAAAACCTATAATAACAACAAGTGGGGAATGTCTAATGATACCATATACTGTCTTTGCTTGCAGATAAATCTGCATATTTTTTTCAAAATCCAGCAACTAAACAAAAAAATTTAAAAGACGGAAAGTAAACATAGAAGCAAAATATAACAACAGTGGAGGCAGAACTACACACACATTCCTCTAAGGTTTACATATATCTAAAAATAAGTCCATATGCAATTGTCGTCTATATGCTATGAACTCAAGTGTTGATAACGGTATATACGAATTTATTCCTTTAATGTCTTGTAGAAAACGTGTCAGCTCAATAGGTATCATCTATCTGTTTTCTGTACTCTTAGTTTTAGTGTTAAGTATTTTAAGGCTGTTGTACGCATATTATCATTTCAGGCTGTGAAATGTTTTATGCTCTTTTTAGGGTCTGGCTGGATTTGTAATGCTTTGTTAATTTTCATAGCTTTATGCTGTTTTATTATTTTATCATATTTTATTCTGTGTGCCACCTTGAGCATGTTTCTGGAGAGGCAGTGTATACATGCTATAAATTAAAAAATAACAATTCCACCTGAGGCTGTAGTAAACAGAAGTTTCATTAGTGAGTTGTAGTGAAACCTGATGAATGATTCTTGGGTGTAAAGGTGAGTATGGACCATTTACATAATGTGATGATGTTGTGCCTTTGGTCTGAATCTGCCCAACTTCCAACCCACCAAGCCCAAAGCACTGCCCACTGGAAGCACAGTAGATCATCTAGTTCAATGCCCTTCTTACAAATAGGGCTGACAACTCGAGGTTGGGAAATTTCTTAAGATTTTGGGAGTGAAGCTTGCAGAAGGCAAGGCTTGGAGGGGGGAGAGAAACCTCAGCAGGTTGTAATGCCATAGAGTCCACCTTCCAAAGCAGCCATTTTTTCTCCAAGGGAACTGATCTCTGTCATCTGGAGTTCTGCTGTAATTCCGGGAGATCCCCAGGTCCCACCTGGAGGCTGGCATCCCTAGCAACCCTAATTATTTGCCAGTTTATTTAACGGTTACAAACTGTGGATTCATTGATGGATTACAAATTGTGCAGGCCTGTTTCCTAGATGTGACTTGCAGGTCACCCTAGCATTAGAATTAGGCATGACAAGTGGAGATCCGTGAGAAACTTGCAGACGGTCAATCCCTTCCTCCTCTTTGCTTTCTTCCCTCTTCCTCTAGCAATCTTCCACCTCTTTTCTACCATTTCCCTTATCTGTCTACCTACCCCCATCCCTTCTCTGTCAATCTATCTTCCTTCTGTGATAACCTACCTCCCATTTCCCCCCTTTCTCCCATTCCCTTTATCTGTCAACCTGCCCCCTATTTCATTTCTTTCTCCCATTCCCCTTGTCAATGTACCCCTCATCTCTCCACCCCACATTTTCTCCATCAATCTACCCAACCCTTGCTGCTCCCCCCACCTACCACCCACCCCTGATCCACCCAGTGGGCCTGCCAAGGCTTCCTTATTCTTTGAGCAGGCTTGCCAAGGCTTCCTCCCCCCGCCCCCATTCTTGGCGGCTCGCTTGGAGCTGCTCCAAGTGTGCTTGCTGAGATTTCTTTCTCCTCCACTCTTGGCTGCTCACCTAAAGCTGCTCTCAGTGGCTTGCAGAGGCTTCCACTACCCCTTGCCACCAGGTCT